GTAAAGGGTTTTGAGCTTGGAATTTTGGAATTCTTCAGGGGTAAAAGGTTTTGAGCTTGGAATTCTTCAGGGGTAAAGAGTTTTGAGCTTGGAATTTTGGAATTCTTCAGGGGTAAAAGGTTTTGAACTTGGAATTCTTTAGGGGTAAACAGTTTTGAGCTTGGAATTCTTCAGGGGTATGACAATGAAAAACATGTATCCTCGACAGGGGGGTACGGATATTAAATGGAATAGCCCAAAAGAGATGCGCTATCTAGTGTATATAAGATATCTATGAGTATTCTGTGCCTGTGATCAGTCTGATGAATACGTCGTTATAAACATGTTGAAGGATTTTGTAGATGGTAATTTCGAGTGTAATGATAGACCCTGTGGCAGAAATCGATGTTAGAGTTCGACAACTGGATTCTGTAGACTGTACTGGAATCACGGTACCACAGGTTTGGTTTCTACCAGAGGTGGCTATATTTAGTTAGGTCTATTAAATAAATGTATAAATAAATGTATTCCTTAGATGTACGTTGCAAAAACATTCATCGAGTGAGATTAATAGCGAAAACAAAACCGATTTTCCGATCTGATAACGGCAGAAATGGGCACGGGAGCCGAGCCGCCCTGGGAACCATATACCGCCGTCACAGAATACTGGCCCACACAGAATGTAGGTCGACTTCTTGGTTTTGCCTGTGATTTTGACGAAACCGTTGCAATGCTGTCGCCATGGTCCTTGCCAGTGCCACAGAATAAAGACATACAGAAGTGTATCTTCTTATTAAAAGTGCGTAAGGGATTTTTTCAGTCCGCCATGTTCTTAGCAAGTGCCCTAAAGAGAGGCAGTCACCCCCCGGAAACATATTGAAAATTTTAAAATTCCAGGGGGGTGAATGCCTCTCTTTAGGGCACTTGCTAAGAACATGGCCGCCAGCTATTTCGGTAAAAAAGCGCCTTACGGTTTTGTAATGGAAGTTACACTTCTGTATGTCTTTATTCTGTGCCAGTGCGCTTATGAGAGGCATTCACCCCCTGGATGTCCGCCAGTTTGAATATTATCAGGGGGTGAATGCCTGTCATAAGCACACTGGCTAGGATCGAAGAAAACGAGAACGAAAACACCAAAAAGAAAACACCTTACGATTTTTCACGAATAAGTCTGTTCTTATTGAGTTTCATTTTTGTCCACATAATAAAAAGGACATTGGACAGAGGCTCGAAGATATGAATACTATTTTTGAGTGGTAAAAACAATTTTTTACGAACGAGCGCATCGATCACGTGATCATTTCCCGCCGATTGCATTGTGTTTACAATGAGGGCCCCCTATACTTTTTGCGTGAAGCGTGAAGGGCTTATTTTACTTAGCCGTGAAACGTGATCGGGCCCCCTATACTTTTTGCGTGAAGCGTGAAGGGTTATTTTACTTAGCCGTGAAACGTGATCGATGATTTTCTTAATCCGTGACTCGTGAAAAGGCAAAATATTTTTACGTGAAAGCATATTGTGAAGAGGTATAGGGGGCCCTCTTTACAATATGTCATTTCGCGACGTTTGTAAAAAGTGACGAACGAGTTGCTTTAATTTTCGTCTTTGTTTATGACTATATAATAAAACGAACATTATAGGCCACATAAAATAAATTCCTTGATTCTCATCACCGCCCGACTGGATTTCAAGTTTATATTTCGTTATACAATATAAATGTACCGCCCGACCAAATAATTCAAGACAGTTAAGTTTTTTATATTTTACATTGTCATTGGGTTTTTAGTGCCATTTTAAATTGCCAATTTCAAACAAACGGGACCTTGGAAGGAACTTCGTATTCAGTTCAATGAGTTCAGTCATTGTTCGTGGAGATACGTTGGATATTACATAGATGTGTAATGTAATATGTTTATTTTGGTTTGTGACACTTCATTTCGGAAATCACAGAAATATGAAATGTTCGGAATTATTTTTCTATTTATTGATATATAAATTATATAAATATAAAATATAAACCTCCAGCCTCTTCGACATTTTCAAAGTGTAGTGATGAGAATCAAGGAATCTATTTTATGCGGATTTTAAATTCTCGTGGTAAAAACAATATTTTACTCATTCGCTGCGCGCATTAATAGAGAATATATCCTTCGAAGTAATGATACTGATCTAGCACTTCCAAAACCTAAAACAAACTATCTTGAACGAAGTTTTAAGTACAGTGGTGCAACGCTGTGGAATAGTTTTCCTTCTGAGGCAAAAAAGGCATCTTCGCTTTACCAATTTAAACGCAGTATGTCCACTATACCAGAGACTAATGTGGGTTAAAATAGTTGTAAGTGCTTATATAACACGCCCCGTCTGAAAATCAACGCATGTTGCCATGTATTTAGAACTATGTTGTGTATGGCCAGCGTGTCAACGCAAATTTTTGTAAGTAAGTGAGTAAGTCATTCCGGCGTAAAATATTGTTTTCATATATTTATCGCTAATTTTGTCTTTAAATGATTTGCATAATTGTCGGTAGGTTTCACAATATGAAATCGTACTCAATATATAGGAAGTGAAGAATCGAAACTAGGAGTTCCTCATAGTTTCCTGTTATGTGGGGTTCGCTTACTCCCATTTGGCAAAACGCGTTTAGTCATGCGGCCCGGCCTTGACACTTTTTGTTAGACATGCATAACACCCATTTTACCTTATTCGGACACAATGACGTTTACGTGGGCAGTGGGGTGCCAGGTGATAGCATATAAAGCGCCGTGAAGTATTGCAGTTACTCAAACCAAAGTCTTGGTAAGGACAGAAGATATAAGATACTCAAGACTATATTCACAGAATACAAAGATGTTCCTGAAATTTGCTGCAGCGGTGTGTCTTATATATCTTTGTGTACTAACAGGCAATGGAAAGTCTGCAGGAATGGACAAAAACGGCGCAATGGTATGGATATATTAAATTTCAGTTTCCTGTATAAATATTCCCTCTGATGTTCGTCTAAAATCTGTATATAGTGTACCGTAAATTCCACATCTTTTTCATTTAACTGAAGTATTATTAGATGAAGTACGGTTGTTTTGCCCTGGTTGTTTTATAATATCAGTGAATTGTATTGCACTAACTAAATCAAATGATGTTAATAATAATGTTAAAAAACTCATTAATAATTCAGGAGGAAAACACAAAGAAAAATCATAAGCGTGTCTCGTATCTTTATATGTGATAAAAAATCATGTTAATTTACAGAAACTTTAGCTTTGATTTTCTCGGTTTAGACGAAGTTTATTTTAAAAATTACTTCGCCAATGAACTCGTATAAGATGAGTCGTTTTTAAAGACATTTAAAGCACGCGTAGGAGTGTTTTATCAGACATAAAACGCTGGCGGCTGCGCGTCGCGTTTTATATCTGATAAAACACTCCTGCGCGTGCTTTAAATAGTACATAAGTTAGTATAAATCTTCAGGAATATTTCTTAAAATAAAAGAGTTTAAATCAGGAATTAATAGTAGCTTTAAATCGCTAGGAAAAACATCTATTTCTATATTGTACGTCTGTGAATGACGAATGCATATTAGCCAAACCTGTATATATAACGAAGATTTTCGCGCAGCGTTTACAAAGTGACAATGTATTTGCGGATTTTCTAATAGGCGTCGGGGGAGTCAGGGATGTATTTAATTTCAGGTTTTATATATCGGCATCGGATTTGTCCTGGCCTCACTGGTAAACCGGCGGTCTTGGGGTGTTCGCTAAGGACATGAAAACATCCCTTTAAGAGAACTAAAAAGGTAGATCGAATGTATAGTGTTGGATTTTTCACGAATACCGTGAAATTAACGTGACATGCGGTTTAACAAAATATGGTTTGATGAATTATAACTAGTAAGGATAATGCCTAATGCGCATAATTGCACAAACCAAAAATGAAAATAAATATGCGCCAACACCGCGGTCGACGCTGAATCCGCAAGTTGAAATATTTTTAGCTGCGGGATTGATAGGGATACAACTACAGGATACGAGCAGAACTTCAAACGTACTAGTAAAACAGACCTTTAAAAATATTTTTGCAAGCCTAGGCTTGTATTCACGGATTAATTGCGTGCAACAGCGAGAACTGACCTTAACGAAGACGCGTGAAGATCAATTTACCATGCGTCAAACAAAACATCGCACCTCTTTGTAAAGTTGCGCGCTTTTCGTCATTCTGTAGAACATTGTCAGGGGACATGTGGTGCACAAAAGAACAAAACAAAGCCGATCACTGGCTGGGCGTTTTCATAACTCACCAATCAATATGGTGTAAAAAATGAACTAGTTTGTTCAAGGGCAAGAACAAGTGTTTGCAAAATGTTCGTATATTTCTTCCAAGAACTATTTGAGAAGGAAGAAAGGCCACTAATATCCAATTTCTCTCTATATAGGCAATATTTTTTATTCCTACCAATGACCAGAAACTTGGAGAACCTCTCCTACATGTCAGCAACACCTCTGTAGTATAAAGAGAATTAGATACTAAGAAAGATTTTCAACTGTGTTGTTGTTGACATTTCAGAATTTCTTTCCATGCCTGGCGCCAAGCTATTATTCTAGCAAATGTTATATGTGATTTTTTTATGTACTATTTAAAACATGAGCAGCAGTGTTTTATCAGATATAAAGATACGAGGCGAAGCAGAGTATCTTTTGGTCTGATAAAACACGCACTGCGAATGTTTTAAATTGCTTCAAAAACGATCGATCTAGTAAGTTCATTGGCGAAGTAATTTTATGCATGTAAATCAAGGGAAATCTCTATCACATATAAAGATACGACGCGCTTATGATTTTTCTTTGTGTTTTCCGATCCTCATGAATTATTGAGTTTTTGAAATGTATATATAGATTTTATAATGAGAGAATTTTATTTAATTCTTAGGACTACATGGCGAAATTTGGATACGCTGACCCGGGCAGGTCTGGTAGTGGAGATTTCAACAAAGCTATAAGACGTTTCCAAAAGTACTTTCATCTTAAGATGACTGGACGCCTGGACGCGGAAACGAAAACCGAAATGCTGAAGCCTCGTTGTGGTAATGCTGACGAGGTCGATGACACTGGAAGAAGCGGCGCGCAAGCATTTAGGACTGGTTCCAAATGGAGCAAGACAAGTTTAACGTATCGCTTCCTACGAGATTCGGAGGATGTGACCAGATCTGTAATGAAAGCGACTTTCAGAAAGGCGTTTGCATATTGGAGTGCAGTGACACCCCTTAGATTTAGGGAAGTAACAAGCGGAAGGAGTGATTTTACAATCATGTAAGTCGAAATTTATTTGTATTATCGTGTATATACAATAAATTACATTATACCTCTGACTCGTATCCAGTATATGTATTGATTGTGCACTATAAATAGGCAATTCCGGCTATAGACTAAATTTTGATCTAGGCAAGAAGAACAAACTCATTACCACAGCTAGAAAGAGTATGTTAAAATTAGTCAAATTGCAAAGTTTGGCCGCGAAATGTTGTAAAATACAGAAAATATAGGCCTGTGAAATTTGCAAATTTTTTATTAATCTGTATCACGCGCGGGAAAATGCACCACATTTGGGCCGAAAGTGGTGCATTTTCCCGCGCGTAATACAAATTAATAGAAATTTGCAAATTTTATAAGGCTACATTTTCCGCATTTTACAACATTTCGCAACCAAACGTTGCAATTTTACTAATTTTAACATGCTCTTTCTAGCGGTGGTGATAGATTTTGTTCTTCTTGCCGCGATCAAAATTTAGTCTATAGCTGGCTGGAATTGTCTATTGGGACGAGTCAGATTACATACCCCAAGATCCCTGAAGGGTGAAAATTCCTAATTGACGTGTGCGAGCAGAATCACATGCTTTAACTCCTGTTTTGGGGCGGGGATCATTTATAACTTTTTAAAGTCAATTCATGTTGCGAGTATGATGGTCACTTATTTAAATTCAAAAATATTAATATTGGAAGTGACTTACAAACTCGCAACTACCGCCTTGATAATTTTCATATCGTGGCCAACCTCAAACTTATGTATTCTGGATTTCTAGGTTTGCAAGACGATCTCATGGAGACGGTGCCCCATTTGATGGGCGTGGCAGAGTTTTAGCGCACGCGTACTTCCCCTCAAACGGCCGCGTCCATTTCGACGAAGACGAAGGTTATAGCGTTAATGGAGGTAGCATAAATGGACAACGTGGAATTGATCTGCTGGCCGTGGCTGTACACGAGATTGGACACGCGATTGGCTTACACCACTCAAACGTCAGAGGATCTATCATGTGGCCTAGTTATAATGGATATAACGCGAACCTCAGATTACATCGTGATGATATCAATGGCGCGCAGTCCTTATATGGTATGTAGGTATTCTGGAAGGTAGTTTTACTGAGCCTATAGTTGGAATAGGATAACGATTATTTTTGCTAACGAAATGACAGGAATAAGGTTTTATAGGAGAAGTTTCGATACGCGAGATGTGACAAAAAATATACGAAAAATATATGTGCGAGTTTATTCCGAGGTAGAAAATTTCAGCACTCTTACCTGTTTACTGTTCCTAACATAAGTGGTGAGGCTGTTAATCTATTAAAAAAAAAACACGATAGCTGTTAAAAAAAAACCAATTTAACCGATGTTCTCTCAGCACAAAAACCAAAGAACCGGTTTCTAGCCTGCGCGCAGGCTACCCAAAGATCCTCTCACCCTAACATATAGGGTGTATCAAAAAACCTGCAAACTCTTTGAAATACAATGTTTTTAGAATTTGCACGATTCAGAACTAATTGCTCCCAAAGCGCACGTGCGTAAACACAATAGTTGACCAATTCGCAGTCGAATTGATAATTAGTTTTCTGCATTACAAATAACTTTGTGTTGCTCTAATTGCTATCAAACGCGGTTAAATAAACTGATGCGTTTTAAAATCCCAAGAGCAAAATAAGTAGCACAGACATTGAAATGCTAGCAAGCAGCAGAATTATGCAAATTATAGTGTTTGCAGGTTTTTTTATACACCCTGTATAGCATTAATATTACTCAAGCAATCAGGTCCGCTTTCAAAGGTCAGCTAACATCATTATTTCTTATTTCAGGTCGTAACACAGGTGGTGGTGGAACAGGAGGTGGTACAGGAGGTATTTATTTTATTTCACTCTTTTTCTCTTATATTAGAGACTCGTCCTGTCTGTCTATTGTAGACGCAGGCATTCTATATAACAGGCAGGGGCGTAGCCAGTCCCCAAACGAGTGGTGGGGGAGGGGTGCTGTCGTCAAATGCACATGCAGAACAACTATGCACGTGGTTCGGCCGTCAAGGCCAAGGTTCCCCCAAAAATATTTCTATTTTAGGGTCTGCGAAACGCGATTATTTTAGACACGTTTTATGATAGTCGGAAAGCCACAGATTTGGTAGATTATATTTCATAGATGAAAGCATTACGAGGTTACGCCGCGCACAGAAGCAGAACTCAAAGACATGAACTGGATCTTTATTCTGTCGCTAGCTCTAGACTCGTAGTTCGAAGCCACATCAAAAGAGAGGAACATTTAGTATTTCAACCAAGCTAACTTTCTCCGTGATTTTAACGGTTCATTTCTCTCGTTTTCCCCAAGGTTCGTCGTGTTCTGATAAGAATCAAAGTTGTCCAAGATGGAGGCGGTACTGTACGTCCTCACGGTACGGCAATTACATGAGAAAAAATTGCCAGAAAACATGCAACTTTTGTGGTGGAGGTAAGCGTAGAAAATATAAAACTGTTATTCACAATCGATATTCCGAGTGGAAAACGAAGTTTTGTTAAAAATACAAGTATTTTAAAAAGAGAAAAAATGAATTGAGTTCAATGTGAAAACAAATATCCGAGCTTACGTTTCGTTGCTTCTAGAAGCTTCTGTAGCTAGTATTTATTTCACAACAGCTCCAGGTCAGGTCTTCATTTCCATTCATGAAGATTCTTCAACAGAAGTTGTAATTGGTCGAATCCTTTTGATATTTTTAGGATCGTCGTGTGCTGACAAGAATGTAAATTGTTCGTCTTGGCGAAACAGAGGTTTTTGTCGTGGAAGGTTTGCGATGTACATGAAGGAAAATTGTCCAAAATCTTGTCGACATTGCTGAAGCCGAGGTAGGAGAGAGATACCGTCACATTTTTAGTTCAGTTGTTGTTTTATCTAATGTCGATTACGCAGGATGTCTTCGACACTGAATTATTCTCAGAGAAACAAGAGAAAACTTCCAACAGGATTTCTTAAAAAAGTTGACTTTTGGCGGCATTTGAACTCACATCTTCAGGTCACCCCGTTCCACCTATTGAGCTATCAAACCAACGGGGAGTGGGGCGAATTTTCTCCATTTTATTAAAGGCACAGTTCAGCCTTGTTTCTCAGGCGCATTTCAGCCCTTTTAATTGAAAAAACTAACTAGGAAAATCAATTATGCATAATTCAAGATCAGTAAACTCAATGTTTTTAACAATAAAAATGTTTTAAAATGTTAAAAACATTAAGTTTGCTGATCCTGAATTATGCTTAATTGATTTTCCTAGTTAGTTTTTCAAATAAAAGGGCTGAAATTCGCCTTAAAAATCATCATTCAAAACGCTGAACTGTGACTTTAAATGCTGCACGAAATATTTTCGCGACTACACGAGTTCCGAGTTCAAATCCTACTCAAGTCAAATTTTACAGTCGACTTGTGCAGTGCAAGAAATCAATCTGAGGATTCTGAGCACACACCTCCGTTTTGCTGCCTAAACCCACCCGAGAATTTTAGGGCAGCAAAACGAAGGTGCATGTGTACTCAGGCTAAGGTTGCCCAATTCACCCGAGAGGTTCACGATGCACGTACTCGACAACGAAGCGTTAGTTATCGGATATTGGGGGAAACCGAAGGATCACCGTGCTCGCCAAATTAAAATACATATAACGAATATTCAAGATTGGATGAACTAATGTCTGACACATCTCTTATTCTTGAATTTTAGGCAAATCGTACTGGGGACTGGACAACACCGTGCACAAACACTCACATATCTCGTAGCAGATAATTTTTATATTAGTTTTTGTAGATTCAAATTTGTCAATAAAGGGAAAATATGTATAGAATTTGTAGTGTTGTTATTCTTAGAGAAATAGGGGTATTTCAGAAAGCATTTTCATAAATTGCAATTGAACCATATAACAAGTAGCCGAGGTTGGAAGATTAGAATGTGCATATATATATATATATATGATAACTTTTCTAAGGGATAGACTGCTAGCTCAAACGTATCTCGGTCGCTGATTGGCTTACTCCAGAATAAGTTTTATTTTCATGGGCCATAGTTTTATTGGATAAAAAATATCGCCATCAATTGTATAGAAAAGAATTCTCTTCGTTTTGAAATGTGGTCTTGTTTTGATGTATTGAAGAATTGAGCATGATAAAGATTAAGTATTTGTTGATTTGTGTTATTCATGAAGAGTATTTGTAGAAGGCTATAGATAATAAAATTAAAATTATTTTCATTTTGGAATGGAAATTAGATTATTGGTATGATGTAGTTGAAGTGATAGTAAGTGGTTATATTAGTGTGAAAGACTAGATCTTGAGCAATATTGCTTGGTGTTTTGCATGCGATTAAAAAAATATGCATGAAATAGAATATGCAGATTGCAGATTTGGGCTCATTAGCGGTGATTTTGGCTCATTTACCTGCATATAATTAGTGACATGCATGGGGTAATTTAAGTTGCAGAACCAGCTAGCGCATGCACTATTTCGCACTAATGCAGGGCAGTCAGAACGTTTTCTAAAATGTCGCTAAATTTATGTACATTTTATAATTTTTCGCGCTTTTGTGCAGTGATAAAATTTCCTTAGAATAATCCTTACTGGACCTTTAGGGGGAAGAACTGACAATATACAGCCATACAGGCTAAAGTTTCCTATAGATAGATAGATAGATAGATAGATAGATAGATAGATAGATAGATAGATAGATAGATAGATAGATAGATAGATAGTCAAGATAGATATAGATAGAGATAGACAGACAGACAGACAGACAGACAGACAGACAGACAGACAGACAGACAGACAGACAGACAGATAGGTAGATAGATAGATAGATAGATAGATAGATAGATAGATAGATAGATAGTCAAGATAGATATAGATAGAGATAGACAGACCAGACAGACAGACAGACAGACAGACAGACAGACAGACAGACAGACAGACAGACAGACAGACAGACAGACACACAGACAGACAGACAGACAGACAGACAGACAGACAGACAGACAGACAGACAGACAGATAGATAGATAATTTATTTAATGACGTAAATAGCTATACGTCTGTACTGACGTATAGCTTCTGTACTTACGTTGTAAAAGGCTTAAGAGTTAAGTATTTTTTTATAATAAACGGCTAAAGTGCAGTGTGTCTAAAAAATGAACTATTTCAAATTCAAATTAGCTATAACGTGATGCACGAAAATGAGTTGTTACCGGAAAAACGTCAACGACAACGACCTTTAAGAGAACGTGATCATCAATTTATGTTGCCAAAAGTATACACATGCAGAACGTTTTAAACAATCATTTTTAAATACGTGTCTTTTTAATGACTTTTAAAATTTTGTTATTTAACTATAACGTTAACACATGCATTTGTAAATAATCTAATTATTAATTATATTTTATGTGAACTGAACGTTTTAAACAATTTTTCAAACACTCATTAATAATTCATAAGCTTATTGGCAAATCATGTCAACCATAATATGTCACGTGTAGTGGCTTTAAATCTGATAAAACACTCCTAATTAGTATTCGTTACATAAAGAATACTAATAAGGCAGTATCTATTGTACACTTGTAGTCGTGTCCTCATTAGTATTCTTTATATAAAGAATGTTATACTAACAAGGCAGTATATCTATTGAATTTGTAGTCGTGTTTGAAGCCGTTTAATGAACTCGCAGGTCGTGTTTTATTAGGTCTAAAGCCACTCGCGCTGCGCGCTCGTGTCTTTAAACCTAATAAAACACTCCTGCTCGTTTATTAAACAGTACTTAATGACTTTTAAAATTTTGATTATACGGTATATATTAACTGTAACGTTAACACATTTGTAAATAATCTAATTACTATATCTTATATGCACTGTAAAGTTGCACGTTTGTTGCAACTCCAATATTTATGATATATTTTAATAAAGACGTATGAATGAATGAACGAATGAATTGTTGTATTTTGACAGCTCTAGAATTGCTTTAAATTAATGGTTGGGTAAGAACACAAGGTCCTGTGCCTTGTGTTCTTACCCAACCATTAATTCAAAGCAGAGCTGTCAAATTACTACAATACGTTATAGCTAATTTGAATTTGAAAGGGTTCACTTTTTTTTGAGACACACTGTATTTTGTTTTTAATTTTCTTTGTTCAGAGAAAGGGCCGCGAAAAAAATTTCAATTCCTACGGACAGAATGGCACACACACAAGTTTGCAATAATAGTTAGTTATAGCTACGTGCAGTATTGAAATTCTTCAGAGAGATATTGTGTTCTATTTGGGTCTGCAACTTGCGAGGCGCCCAACAAGATTCCAGAATATATATCATGCAGTTAAATGTTTCTTAACGAAAATCTGCCATTTTTGTCCTCTTGTCCGCGACCGTTGCGAAGTTTCTGGCCGATAAACTTTTACTGTATAAGAACAATGACGGTTACTGTTTTCACAAAGAGAATACAGGCGATTAACGAAGGAGACAAAAATAAGACGGTTTGCGGAGCGACCAACCCCCTATAATAGACCCCCGTAAAGGCCCGATTCCACGGTCGCTTTTTCTCGGCGAAATGCGAAATATTTCGCCTGTTTCTTTTGAATTGCGACCACTGGAATAAATTATTTCTACTTGATTGCCCACAATTCAAAAGAAACAGGCGAAATATTTCGCATTTCGCCGAGAAAAAGCGCCCGTGGAATCAGCCCTTTACTCTTAACCAGGAGCAGTTGCGAAAATTGCAACAGAGTATATAAACTATCGTCTCGCTGGTCACAGAATAAAGACAAACAGAAGATCGACTCAACTAAAAAAGCGCTGCTACGTCATGATTCACAATGATTCGTCATCAATTTCGCGGAAACGCTTCTACAATTAGATCAAATATATTTGTACGTACGAGTATGTTATATTGCATGTATATATACTGAAAACAATGTTTTCTGGTTAATTTATAAGCGGGAATAAATGTTGAAGACAGCCATTGTACAGTATCAAAATCGGTTTATTGTAGCTGCATGTTCTCACATAGGTCTATAGTGGTCCATCGTAACTATATACTGGACGAAACTTAAAGGGTATGAGCAACAAAAATTTCTTGCAGTAAAACTTTCTTTCATTTGAAAGAGCTCGTCAAATGGTAATGGAACTATATATTACAAACTTTTCGTTTGTGAGATATTTTAATGTGTTTGATATGCAAAAATATTAGATAAATCCGAATTGATTGCTCAACACGCCACGTTATAGTGACATGAAGAGTTGTTATATACACAATGCCAAGTAAATATTGGAAACAATTTGCAGAATGTACAAAATTTTAAAACATTAAAATATCAGCTATCCAGCTTGAGACGTCATAATTTGCATATGAAACACATTGAAACATGTCAAAAACGAAGAAAGATACGAAAGATTTATAATACATGTTCATTACCATTTGACGAGCTCTTTCAAATGAAAAACTTTTACTGCAAGAAATTTTTGTTGCTCATACCCTTTAAACTGGACTCAATTCATTTATACTAGAGGATGCTAGTTTGTTTAGACTTTAGTTTAGATCTTGTATTTGTCCTTACTCCTTAACACTGATATTCTTGCAAAATGTACTTAATTCTTCGTTGTCAGCATTCGTGATATCATTTTGTTTTGGAAATCCATCTGCATTAGTCAGTGATTAACCTGTTCTTCGTCGAGGTCCAGTGTAAGAAGACACTAAACTAGATTACTTCATTTAATTAATATATACTCAGTGTATAAGTTTCAATTTCGCCGCGAAAGGCTTGTATGATTTCATGCCGGAAATATATTTGTTTGGTATTTGTGGAAACATCACGTTTATTTTGTATTACTAGCCGATATATAATCCTGCATGGATCTTCACCAATGTATTAAATTATTATAGCACCGACGATCTTGGGTCGACAGCTTCGCCAAAGCCGAGACAAAGAAATGAACGTTTTCCACAAAACAAAACAATTATATTTATTTTTACCATGCGAACCTACAAGGTCAAGGTCAATGATCTTAATGTGCTTTATGACAATGGTATATCGAGATAACGAAATATCTTTAAAAACCACAATACATTAATTATTGAAGAAAAATCCCGGCAGGATGCTTGAAAACGTCACTATCTTTCTAGCTCCAATTACGGCAAATAAAAATATTTCGAAATTGCCTCAATGTTGGCGTAATTGCCTCTGTACAAAGTCTTGTCTTCTGTGTTATTTGCCGCCATGGCTATGAAAACAGGCGAGTTTACTGCAATGCCAATGGCAACGAAATTCAAGTCAGCGTTTTGGGCAGAAAGAGCATGTAAAATAGTAAAATAAGTTCATTGGACAATTTTTCTATCTTATCTTTTTTCGTTCTCGAGATATGTAGATTAAATAAATCTATGGCATTATGCAATGGAGTAAAATATTAGTTTCAAAGGTAGTATAGTCTCGTCAAAGGTTAAATATGATGAAATATTTCAAACCATATACAGCTAATTCAAAAAAGGTTTTCCATTGTCTGTATATTGTTGTTCTTTTCACCAACGTTATGCAGAAAGTTATGCAGCAACTGGTTAAAGTTTGGTTAAAGTTTCCTCCTGTAGCTGGTAACACGCTTGACCAATCAAAGATAGTCCTTACTGGACCTTTAGGGAGAAGAACTGACTATATATACAGGCTAAAGTTTCCTATAGCTTCTGTACTTAAGCCGGTTTTCCACTAACGGAATTTTCTCGCGCGAAGCGACCTTTCTCCTTTGTCGGTATCAGTTATTACGTCAGCAAGACGTGGCAAAATGGATGCCGATAAATTAATAGTGGAAAACCGGATTTACGTTACAAAAGGCTTAAGTATTTTTTATAATAAACGGCTAAAGTATTTTGTTTTTAATTTTCTTTGTTCAGAGAAAGGGCGGCAAAACCTTTCAATTCCTACTTACAGGATGTCCAGAGCAGGATGTCTGTACTCCCCCACAAGCTTGCAATAATAGTTAGTTATAGCTATACGCCTACGTGCAGTATTGAAATTCTTCAGAGAGATATTATCTTCTACTTCGGTCTGCAACTTGGCCATGCAACAAGATTCCAGAATATATATCATGCAGTTAAATGCCGTTCTTAACAAAAATCTGCCATTTTTGTCCTCTTGTCGACCGTTGCGAAGTTTCTGGCCGATAAACTTTTACTGCATATAAAGAAAAATGACGGTTACAGTTTTAATGAAGAAAATACAGGCGATTAACGGTGAAGGAGACAAAAATAAGACAGTTTGCGGAGCGACCAACCCCCTATAGACCCCTTATTACTCCTAACAAGGAGCAGTTGCGAAAAATGCAGGGCGAGTATATAAACTATCGTCTCGCTGGCCACAGAATAAAGACAAACAGAAGGTCGACTCAGCTAAAAAAGCGCTGCTACGCCATGATTCGTCATCAATTTCGCAGACACGTTACTACAATTAGATCAAATATATTTGTACGTACGTACGAGTATGTTATACCGTATATAATTTTAAAGCTTATATGCTGAAAACAATGTTTTCTGGTTAATTTATAAGGTACGGAATAAATGTTGAAGATAGCCATATCTTTAGTCTTTACATGTACAGTATCAAAAATAGCTTTATTTATTGTAGACTGCATGTTCTCACAGACGTCTATAGTATAGTGGTCCATCGTAACTATACTACCGGACGACACTTAAACTGGACTCAATTTATTTATACTAGAGGATACTAGTTAGTTTAGATCTTGTATTTGTCCTTACTCCTTAACACTGATATTCTTGCAAAATGTATACTTAATTTTGTTTTGGAATTCCATCTGCATTAGTCAGTGTGATTAACCTGTTCTTCGTCGAGGTCCAGTGTAATTAAGAAGACACTAAACTAGATTACTTCATTTAATTAATATATGCAGTGTATAAGTTTCAATTTCGCCCCGAAAGGCTTGTATGATTGCATGTTGGAAATATATTTGTTTGGCATTTGTGGAAACATCACGTTTATTTCGTATTATTATATAAAGTATAGTGCTTTATAGAGATTTCGAGCACTGATAAAAGTGATAATCTCACATGTGAGATTATTCATGATAATCTCACATGTGAAAATTATCGCTTTTCGGTTATCGCCTTTCTGTAAAAATTATCGCTTTTCAAAGACTGTCCTTTATATAATAAACAGAAAAATACATGGATGCTTGGAAATACCAGATTTATTTCTCGTGTTGAACATGATACCTCACTCGTTCGAGCTGCGCTCACTCGTGAGATATCATGTTCAACACTCGAAATAAATCTGGTATTTCCGCGCACCCATGTATTATTCTCTATTTACTAGCCGATATATAATTATTATAGCACCGACGATCTTGGGTCTAAAGCTTCGCCAAAGCCGAGACAAAGAAATGAACGTTTTCCACAAAACAAAACAAAAATATTTATTTTTACCCCACAAAATGCTTGAAACGTGACTATCTTAAATTTCTATATCTCATGCAAATTACGGCAAATAAAAATATTTCGAAACTCTTTAAAACTTTAATTCGCTTTAGCGTAATGGCCTCAATGTTGGCGTAATTGCCTCTATATACAAATTTTAATATTTGCCGCCATGCCCATGGCCATGAAATTCAAGTCAGCGTTTTAGGCAGAAACAGCATGTAAAACTGTAAAATAAGTTCAATGGACAAATTTTCTATCTTATCTTTTTTCGTTCTCGAGATATGTAGATTAAATAAATCTATGGCATTATGCAATGGAGTAAAATATTAGTTTCAAAGGTAGTATAGTCTCGTCAAAGGTTAAAAATGATGAAATATTTCAAACCATATAGCTACAGCTATAATTAATTCAAAAAAGGTTTTCCTTATATATTAAATGTTCGGAATTATTTTTTTATTTATTGATATATAAATTATACTGATAAAATATAAACTCCCCGCCTCTTCGGAATTTTCAAAGTGTAGTGATGAGAATCAAGGAATTTATTTTATGTGGATTTTATATTCTCGTGGTAAAACTGAACAATATTTTACTCATTCGCTGTGTGCTCATTCGTAAAATATCGTTTTCATATATTTATCGCTAATTTTGTCTTTAAATCATTTTCATAATTGTCGGTAGGTACAATCGAAACTAAGAGTTCCTCTTCCTGTGCATTTGGCAAAATTACTCCGCGTTTAGTCATGCGGCCCGACCTTGACACATTTATTGAACGTAACACCCATTTATACCTTACAGCATAATGAGGTTTACGTGGGCAGTGGGGTAGCATATAAAGCGCCGTGAATTATTGCAGTTACTCAAACCAAAGTCTTGGTAAGGACAGCAGATAGAAGATACTCAAGACTTTATTCACAAAATACAAAGATGTTCCTGAAATTTGCTGCAGCGGTGTGTCTTATATATCTTTGTGTCTTAACAGCCAATGGAAAATCTGCAGACATGGACAAAAACGGAGCAATGGTATGGATATATTAAATTTCAATTTCCTGTAATATTCCCTCTGATGTCCGTCTAAAATAGTGAAATCTATATATATAGTGTACCGTAACTTCGACATTTTTTCATTAAAAGTATTATTAGATGAGGTCCGGTTGTTTTTGAACTGGTTGTTTTATAATGTCAGTGAATCGTATATTGCAACTAAATCAAATGATGATCGCTAGGAAAAACATCTATTTCTATATTGTACGTCTGTGAATGACGAATGCATATTAGCCAAATATGTATATAACGAAGATTTTTGCGCAGCGTTTTCAGAGTGACAACGTATTTGCGGACTTTCTAATAGGTGTCGGGGGACAGGGGATATATTTAATTTCAGGTTTTATATACATCGGATTTATCCCGACCTCATTGGTTAAACCGGCGGTCCTGGCCGGTGTTCGCTAAGTTCATGAAAACATCCCTTCAAGCAACCTAAAAGGACAGATCGAATGTTGTGTTGGATTTTTCATGAATGCGAAATTAACGTAACACACGGTTTAACAAAATATGCTTTGATGAATTATAACTAGTAAGACGTTCTTTGTAGGTTTGCATGGCGATAAAACATATAATAGTTATGTTCGTGGAAACACCACGTGAATTTATTAGTAATTTATTTAGTAAGAATAATGCCTAATGTGCATAAACCAAAAATGAAAATAAATATGCGCCAACACCGCGGTCCGGGGGGGACACTATCCGCGGGGACACTATCCGCTGTAACACTGGCGGTCTTGGGGTGTTCGCTATAAAGGCCCTGTCACACTATTGCGTATCGTACTAGCGCATGCCAGCTAGCATATGAAAAATATCACTCATACGCTGGAAAACGCTGACAAACCTAGGGGTACGGTCGCGTACCTAGGGGTATGGTCGTTTATACGATAATCATACTCTACTCTAGCTTACGGTGTAGAGCTAACTCTACTCTAGGCCGCACGCTGAATACGCTAGAGGTACGCCAGATGTACGGTACTCATACGCTAGCATTTCAAATTATTTCATTAATTTTCGTACGCTTCTCATACGTTTCTCTCATATGCAATAGTGTGCATGACATGAAGGGCGTTAAAGTACATGAAAACATCCCTTTAAGCGAACTAAAAAAGGCAGATCGAATGTAGTGTTGGATTTTTCACGAATACGAAATTAACGTGACAAGCGGTTTAACAAAATATGCTTTGATGAATTATCGGCTAGTACGAATAATGCCTAATGCGCATAAACCAAAAATGAAAAAAAATATGCGCCAACACCGCGGTCGACGCTGAATCCCCAAGTTGAAATATTTTAGCTGCAGGATTGATAGGGATTACAAACAGAACTTCAAACGTACTAGTAAAATCGACCTTTAAAAATAATATTTTTGCAAGCCTAGGCCATTATAGTATTCGATTAATTGCGTGCAACAGCGAGAAAAACCTTAACGAAGACCCGCGCGAAGATCAATTTACCATGCGTCAAACAAAACATCGCACCTCTTTGTAAAGTTGCGCGCTTTTCGTCATTCTGTGGAACATTGTCAGAGGACATGTGGTGCACAAAAGAACAAAACAAAGCCGATCACTGGCTGGGCGTTTTCATAACTCACCAATCAATATGGTTGTAAAAAATGAACTAGTTTGTTCAAGGGCAAGAACAAGTGTTGCAAAATGTTCGTGTATTTCTTCCAAGAACTATTTGAGAAGGGCGAAAGGCCAATAATAACCAATTTCTTTCTACATAGGCAATATTTTTATTCCTACCAATGACCAGAAACTTGGAGAACCTCTCCTAACATGTCAGCAAAACTCTGTAGTTTGAGAGATAGGCAAAGATTTTCAACTGTGTTGTTGTTGACATTTCAGATTATTTCTTTCCATGTCTGGCGCCAAGCTATTATTCTAGCAAATGTTATATATGATTTTTGTTATATGCATATATATAGATTTTATAATGATAGCATTTTATTTCATTCTATTATCCGTAGGACTATATGGAGAAATTTGGATACGCTAACCCTGGTAGATCTGGGAGTGAAGATTTTAACACAGCCATAGCACGTTTCCAAAAGTACTTTCACCTTGAGGTGACTGGACGACTGGACGAGGAAACGAAAACCGAAATGCTGAAGCCTCGTTGTGGTAATCCTGACGATGTCGATGGCACTGAAAGAAGCGGCCCGCAAGCATTTAGGACTGGTTCCAAATGGAGCAAGACAAGTTTAACGTATCGCTTCCTACAAGAATCGGAAGATGTGAGCAGATCTGTAATGAAAGCGACTTTTAGAAAGGCGTTTGGATATTGGAGTGCAGTGACACCCCTTAAATTTAGGGAAGTAACAAGCGGAACGAGCGATTTTACAATCAAGTAAGTCGAAATTTATTTATATTATCGTGTATATATACATACGATAAATTACATTATATATACCTATGTACTAATAGGTAATTCTAGCTTTAGACTAAATTTTGATCTAAGCAAGAAGAACAAACTCCATCATCACAGCTAGAAAGAGCATGTTAAAATTAGTAAAATTGCAAAATTTGGTCTCGAAATGTTGTAAAATGCGGAAAATACAGCCCTGCGGAATTTGCAAATTTTGTATTAATTTGTATTACGCGCGGGAAACTGATGCACTGCACCACATTTGGGCCGAAAGTGGTGCATTTTCCCGTGCGTAATACAAATTAATCCAAAATTTGCAAATTTCGTAGGGCTATATTTTCCGCTTACAACATTTCGCAACCAAACGTTGCAATTTTTCTAATTTTGTGGTGATAGATTTTGTTCTTCTTGCCTAGATCAAAATTTAGTCTGTAGCTGGCTGGAATCATCTATTATGGGACGAGTTCAGATTATATACCCCAAAATCCATGAAGGGTGGAAATTAATTGAAGCGTGTGAGGAGAATCACATGCTTTAACTCCTGTTTCGGGGCGGGGATCATTTATAACTTTTTAAAGTCAATTCATGTTGCGAGCATGATCGGCAATTTTTTAAATGAGGAAATATTAATATTGGAAGTGACTTACAAACTCACAATCTACCGCCTTCATAATTTTCATATCGTGTCCAACCTCAAACTTATGTATTCTGGCTTTCCAGGTTTGCAAGACGATCTCATGGAGACAGTGCACCATTTGATGGCCCTGGCAGAGTTTTAGCGCACGCGTACCTCCCGTCAAACGGCCGCGTCCACTTCGACGAAGACGAAGGTTATAGCGTCAATGGAGATAACGTAAATGGACGACGTGGAATTGATCTGCTGGCCGTGGCTGTACACGAGATTGGACACGCGATTGGCTTATACCACTCAAATGTCAAAGGATCTATCATGTGGCCTAGTTATAATGGATATAACGCGAACCTCAAACTGCATAGTGATGATATCAAGGGTGCGCAGTCCTTATATGGTATGTATAGATATTTTGGAAGGTAGTTTCATTGAGCCTAGTTGGAGTAGGATAACGGTTATTTTTGCTAACGAAATGATAGGAATAAGGTTTTAGGAGAAGTGTCGATACGCGAGATGTGACAAAAATATACAGACGAAAAATGTGCGAGTTTATTCCGAGATAGCAAGAAAATTTGAGCACTCTTCATCTAACATGAACCTGTTTAGTGTTCCTAACATATAGTAGGGTGAGGCTGTTAATATATAAACAAAAAAACACGATGGCTGTTAAAAAACAATTTAACCGATGTTCTCTCAGCACAAAAACCAAAGAACCGGTTTCTTCCCAAAGACTAGTCTGCGCGCACGCTACCAAAAGACCGTCTCACCTTAACATATAGCATTAAAATTACTCAAGCAATCAGGTCCGCTTTCAAAGGTTAGCTAATAATCATTATTTCTTATTTCAGGTCGTAATACAGGTGGAGGTGGTGGAGGTGGTGGAACAGGAGGTATTTATTATTTTTTCACTCTTTCCTCTTATATTGGAAACTTGTCCTGTCTGTCTATTCTAGACACAGGCATTCTAGATAACAGGCAGGGGCGTAGCCAGTCCCAAACAAGTCCTATCGTCAAATGCATAGAACAACTATGTGGTTCGGTCGTCAGGGGCATTAAGGTTCCCCGAAACATATTTCTAATCGGAAAGCCACAGATTTGGTATATTTTATGTCATAGATGAAAGCATTACGAGGTTACGCCGCGCACAAAAGCAGAACTTAAAGACATGAACTGGATCTTTACTCTGTCGCTAGCTCTAGGCCCTTAGTTCGGAGCCACATCAAAAGAGAGGAACATTTGGTATTTCAATCAAGCTAACTTTCTCCGTGATCTTAACGATTTATTTCTCTCGTTTTTCCCAAGGTTCGTCGTGTTCTGATAAGAATCAATATTGTCCAAGATGGAAGCGGTACTGTACGTCCTCAGTGTACGGCAATTACATGAGAACATATTGCAAGAAAACATGCAACCTTTGTGGTAAGAGTATAAAATATAAAATATAAAACTGTTATTCATAATCTGTTAAAAATAACCCATACAAACTATTTTAAAAAGAGACAAATGAATTGAGTTCAATGTGAAAACATTTATCCAAGCTTACGTTTTGTTGCTTCAAGAAGCTTCTAGCTAGTATTTTTCGCAACAGCTCCAGGTCAGATCTTCATTTCCATTCCTGAAGATTTTTCAACAGAAGTTGTAATTGGTCGAAATCCTTTTGATATTTTCAGGATCATCGTGTGCTGACAAGAATAGATTTTGTTCGTATTGGCGATTCAGAGGTTATTGTCGTGGAAGGTATGCGACGTTCATGAAGCAAAATTGTTCAAAATCTTGTGGATATTGCTCAAGCCGAGGTAGGAAAGAAATACCGTCACATTTTTACTTCAGTTGTTGTTTTATCTAATGTCGATTACGCAGGATGTCATCGACACTGAATTATTCTCAAAGAAACAAGAGAAAAGTTCCACCAGGATTTCTTGTAAAAGTTGACTTTTAGCGGCATTTGAAATCACATCTTCAGGACACCCCGTTCTACCTATTGAGCTATCAAACCAACGGGGACTGGGGGCGAATTTTCTCCATTTTACTAAGCGCTGCACGAAATATTTTCGCGATTACACGAGTCCCGAGTTCAAATCCCACTCGAGTCAAATTTTACAGTCGACTTGTGCAGTGCAAGAAATCATGTTGGGTGTGGTAATATGAGCACACACCTCCGTTTTACTGCCTTAAACCCACCCAATAATTTTAGGGGCAGCAAAACGAAGGTGTTTGCTGAGGCTAAGGGCGTGGTTGCCCAATTCACCCGAGAGCCTTATGATACACGTACTCGACAACAAAGGCCTAAGGGTTAGTTATCTGATATTGGAGGAAAGCGAAGGATCATTGAGGGTCATTAAGTAAGGACACGCTATCCGTACTGCCCAAATTAAAATACACATATAGCGAATATTCAAGATTGTATGAATAAATGTCTGACACATCTCTTATTCTTGAATTTTAGGCTATTAATCGTACTGGAGATTGGACCACACCATGCGCAAACTGAAAACGTTTCAACTATGTTTAAAATCTCAAATTCTGATAAATATAATTTAAGAAGTAATAACAAGATGCTGATGTTGTCCAAGCCCAAAACAAATTAAATGAAAAGGACATTCGGATATGCTGCTGCTAAAGACTGGAACTATAATAGTAATAATTTTAAATCTACTTAATTCATTTGTAATATATATATTTAACGTATCGCTTCGACCCAAACATTTCTTAGTATCTTTTAATATTTTTATAATAGTTTATATAATAGTATTTCGAGTTTTAATTTGTATTTAGTAACACTTACATATCTCGTAGCAGATCATTTTTGTATTAGTTTTTGTAGATTTAAATTTGTCAATAAAGGGAATAAAATGTATAGAATTTGTAGTGTTGTTATTCTGGGGGAAATAGAGGTATTTCAGTAAGGGAGTGGTAAGTATTTATGGGGTGTTAGGGGATGGATGATTTTGAGGAGGAGTTACCAAATTTTGAAAGATGCTGAAGAGGGGTGATGTTGATTCTTGACTTGAAGAAGGGTTACTAGAAAAATAGTCTCAAAGCAGTTTTGATACACAATTAAAAACAAAATAATTAATTCATACATAAACAAACTTAACAAATCGAAATAATTGATACACTGTAGATAATGGATATATTGTGTTATCACATGCCAAACTGTAAAATAAACAACTTTAGTCTCAACCCCTATATTAAATAATTTATAAAAATCTAGTGCGCTAAAATAATAACGTTGGTCTTATTTTTTAAGTACAAGGACAATAGAAAACTTTTTGTTTCAAGTTGAAATTGCAATGTTAAAACTCAACGTTTATTTTGTTTTTATTTTATGTTTACATTTGTTAAAACGATCTCCTTTAAGGAGGGGTAGTGAATTTCACATGGAAAATTTTATGGAAAATTTTAGGTTGTGTCTAAAAAATCATCCACCCCTACTACCCCATAAATAATAACCACTCCCTAAGCATTTTTATAAATTGCAATTGAACCATATAACAAGTAGCCGAGGCTGGAAGATTAGAATGTGCATATATATATATATATATATATATATAGTAGAGAGTATTGAGCTGTTCAATCATTATTTGTGTTTCACTTATAGCCAAAATAGACCTGTCATAAAGTATTTTTATTGCACTAGCATACGTTGTCTTCTTTGTGAAGTAATATAAAGAAGGGTTATATATTCCGTTATGTGTACCTTTCTTTATTTTGTAACGGATGATTCCAGCTGTAAACTAAATGTTGATCTAGGCAAGAAGAACAAAATCCATCACCACAGCAAGAGAAAAAGCTTGTTAAAATGAGTAAAATTGCAAAGTTTGGTTGCGAAATGTTGTAAATGCGGAAAATATAGCCTTGCAAATTTTGCATTAATTTGTATTACGCGCGGGAAAATACACCACTTTTGGTCAAAATACAAATTAATACAAAATTTGCAAATTTCGCAGGGCTATATTTTCCGCATTTTACATCATTTCGCAAGGAAACTTTGCAATTTACTAATTTTAACATGCTCTTTCTAGCTGTGGTGATGGATTTTGTTCTTCTAGCTTGTGGCTGGAATTGTCTATTTAAAGCGAATCAAACGTGCGGAAACTAATTGTTCTTTGAGCAACTCAGTTTTTTATTTTTGCATATTCAAATGGTGGTTGAACAGTTGAATAACTTGATATGCATATTCTAATTCGTCCACTCTCCGCTAGATGTATGGTTCAAACTTATGAAGAGTTATTAGGGTCATAATTCAAATAGAAATTCTATTGTGCTAACACTCAATATATGTTTCTTTTATTCGAATAACACAATTTGAAATCAAGAACTCCTTTTTCAAAAGCCAGAATTCTGTTTTCAAAAGCCAGAACTCCGTTTTCAAATGCCAAAACTCAGTTTTCAAATGCCAGAACTCCCTTTTCAAATGCCAAAACTCAGTTTTCAAATGCCAGAACTACCTTTTCGTTTCTGGCTGTGTATACAACGGGTTTGATCAAACTGATATGTCGTGTTTAAATATGACATTACGCCATATAAAACAGAACAAAACGATATCTGAAACATGCGCTAATATGAACCCCAATGACCCTTGTACAACCTGTACTAATATTAACCCCAATATTATTGCGCTAATATTAACCCCTGCAACGACCCGAGTTTAGGTTTTTGTCGAGGGTCGAGTGTGAGAGGTGAGTGTCGAGGGTCCAATGTCGAGGGTGAGGGTAAAAAGTCGAGGGTGAGGGTAAAAAGTCGAGGGTCGTATTTTTACGACAGCTAAGACAACTACTAACGATAAAAGAGTTTTTAAAACGGTCTATAGAAAACGTCGGAGTAAAACAGTTTTCTCCTCATGTAAATCATGAATTAAGGGAGAATTTGGTCTAGAAACTAACTCATTAAGTTTATGGTTTGGGTCGTCTAGGATCTGGTTAAAAAGTTTCACCACGCAGCTGCATGTCTTCTAGCGTGTAGTAATGTCTACAGGCCACTTTTGATTAAGGCATTTTTAGATAAAAAGGCGGAGTTTTTTCAGTTCATTAAAAGCAAAGTCAAAGAGCCATTTATTATAAATATTAACTTAAAATAGTTTCTAAACGTAGTATAATTTCATAAACAGGCCAATGGAAATATTCAACCTCGCATCAAGCAAGGGCCGGTCTCCGTCCCGCCGCAGGTATGGAGACCCTTGCTTGCGAGGTTGGCCAATATTTGGCCGTGAGACGAGTAATATCTAACTGTTGTAATATTGACTGAATCACTTAGCGTTAATTGGTTTCTTGAAACAGTGGCCACGCTAACCGCACCCCGGCAAATCTAGCAGAAAACACACAAGTTTTTATTTATCATAACTTGCTATTGGTAATATATTTTGCCTTAATATATTGCCGTTACTGGCTTGAGGATACAGCCAAAGATTAGATACTATAAAGATGTGCCACTCGACGTATTTCCCTAATGTTTGCGTGTCCGTAATTTTCACTTACTGCCAAAATGGCGGCGAGACTGATGGCGTTGGATTTTACTATTTAGAGCATAGAGATTATAAATAACACTAGAGGAGGCATCGAGTTTAAAAATTGGGAACGCAGCTAATGGGGGCAAATTCAAGTCCCGGATATAAAATCGTGCTCTCATTGGCTGATTTGAAACTCGTCACCAATGGGAACACGAATACACATCCGGGACTTGAATTTGCCCCCCAAAAGTTGCGTTCCCTTTTTTTTACTGAATTAAGATTACAATGCCTCCTCTAGTGTTATTTATGAATCTCTATGATTTAGAGACTGATGGCGTTGGATTTGACACTTACTGGCAAAATGGCAGCTATAAAAAAAATCTCGAACTTAATTTTCGCAGAGTGGCACATCTTTATAGTATCTAATCTTTGATACAGCTGCCCGATAGTCTATGCTGTTACGTCAATTTGATAAGAAAGCAAAGAGACCGTTCTCATATTAGACATAAACATGTTAATTTGCGAGCGTGAAGGGGCCTAGAAAATAATCGCTTAGAAAATTTACGCAAGGTAGTATCTTTTAAAAGTTAATGTAGTTCTGCCTTCATATATATGATAAGTCCATGTCACAACATTAAACAAGTTATTTTGCCCGCAAATTTCGATTCTCGACTTTTTTATGACTCTCGGACTTTTTATATGACCCTCGACATTTCAATGACCCTCGACTTTTTACCCTCACCCTCGACTTATTACCCTCATCCTCGATATTTGACCCTCGACAAAAACCTAAACTCCAATAATGACCCTTGTACAAGCTGCGATTATATAAACAACGACATATTCGATTCTATATAGTATATGCGTTGGAAATGACTTTCAACCTGACAAAACATATCATGATCAAAATAAAGACTAAGAATTTATACACATCTCTATCATAGATATCTTATATACACTAGATAGCGGATCTCTTTTAGTAAAATTGAAGCCAAGAATATTCCAGCGGTTACCCCCATTTGAATAGATGGCGGCCATGTTGGTATTTCACACTCGCTAATAAACGCTTAAAAAACAACACTAACTTTCATCATTTGAATAGTTTAAAAATGCATGTATTTGGAATAGGTTTACCTTGATCTCTATATACAGTCACGTTATATGCACTTAGCCTGTGGTCTATAGACGGTTCGTATTTCAAGGATAAAAGGAACCGCGCAGCAGGTTCCGCAGAAGGCCACAGAGGATCGCGCTTCAGTCTCTCACATAGTGGTCATAGTGGTTAGCTGTGCATGCAAAAAAGTACAAAAGTCAGTGTATATAACAGGATGAAAGTTAAAAGTGCATATCAAAGCGATTTACATGGCGAGTGCACTTGTGACCTATCCCACATTATTTCCAATAGCTTTACCGGTATGGCACTCCACAGGAAATGAAATAAAAAAGATATGGCGTTCAAGGCGGCTCGATATAATTTTCAAAAATTTCAGGTGTACAACAGTTTGATTTTTTAAATGTCGTATTTTTAGGTTTTATGAAGCAGATAACAAGATGTTCATTTATTTTAATATTTCTTCTTTCAAATTGTGTCAGTAGTCCGTTTCTATGGCAACGCACGCGTACCAAATTCACTCTAAGGCCTATTTTATACGTCCAATTTCGGGGCATGTTGTAAAAGACGGACTGGACTGGACTGGACTGGACCGGACTGGACTGGACTGGACCGGGAAAACGCGGACTGAGTCCGTGTTTTACAAATTGCGGACTGAATTTGTAAAAGACGGACTGGACTGGACTGGACCGGGAAAACGCGGACTGAGTCCGTGTTTTACAAATTGCGGACTGAATTTGTAAAACACGGACTGAGTCCGTGTTTTACAAATCGCGGGCTGCGATTTGTAAAAGGCGGACTCATTTACTGAATGAACTAAGGATGAACGGTCGCAGTAAAGTATTGTCTATTCTCATGACAAAGTTCAATGTTTTTACCGAGAAAGTTCAATGTTTTTGATGATCATTTATGGTCATTTGGTGGTTTCAAAGCTTGGATCTGGTTGTTCAACTGGTTAAAATCAGATCAGAACCTGTCAAGTACTCTTGACAAATATCGAAGATTCTCACGCGAATAGGCAATGTTTTTATCAACGACCGTTCATCCTGCAAGCGACGGTACCGATGGACTCAGTCCTGTACTGACTCAGTCGTAAAAGTTTTGGCGGGAATTGCACTCAGTCGTGAGAGTTTTGGCGGGAATTGCGGATATTAATAGGTTGGTCAGGGAATAATCATATCCTGGAGCTAAGGTTGGTAAAAATTACTATTATTTATTGTTTTGAATAAATCAAAGATTTTAATTAAATGATAGAATGTTGAGTTAAGTAATTTACAGGGCTTTCAGAGGGAATTTATAGAATTTATATTGCCAAAAACAAGGGTTTAAGCCATGTTTTAACAGGAATTGGCAGACACCCCCCGAATTAAAAGGGGCTAGTTTCGCCCCTGGATATTATAGCTCTTATAGCAGATACCATTTAGTGTTACTCATAATTAGACTTAAAATAGAGTTAATTTGTTTATTTTGCGTTCGTGGCGAAGAGTTTTCAAACGTTTTCACCCGTTTTCAAAATTACGCGATCAAGGACGAAAATGCTAGAGTTGACATGTCAGTTTTATGTCATTCGGTCACGAACTACACGAAGTTTAAACTTTGAGTTTTGCAGTTCCTTGTCCGATGTATATGCTTTGTATGCTTTATATAAACAGGCTTACAATGAGTTCAAGATACTTTTTAGTGGGAATTATTGCAAAATTTAAGCACAAACAAAATCATAACATCACCGTCAGGGAGCCGGAACCACGGGTGCAGCGGGTGCAAGTGCACCCCTTGCCTTTTCAACTTTGTGGGTGCAGTGCGGGTGCAGACTCAATGGGTGTATCGGGTGCACAAAACTTTTACAGCAGACAGAATTAAACGTCGCTTGAGGATGTGTGTGGGGGTGTTCCACCCCGCAGTCGTCAGGAATT